CCAAGAGCTGTAGATTACAAGTCAAGTGTTTAAAACACTGAGCCACCGACGTTCTTTTATAATAATAATGGAAACAGCTAGTAATAAATCTATTTTAATACTGACCACTTTTCATAGCGTTATGTGTTCCTTTAATCCGGGGCACGTTGAGATACCCCGCGGTGTCCCCCGCGAGGCAGCCGCCGGGGAACACGGGCTGGGGGAGACACTGCCAACCCCCTTCCACCAGCGCACGCGCACCGTATGCTATACGCGTGCCACCTGCAAATATTATATCATTTCATAAAAATGTATATATTTTTCAATACCATCTACTTTTAAAATTAGTCAAAATCGTGTAAGTTATAGGATTGTAATCTTACTAATATTATAAACTAACTTTTGCCCGCGAATTCGTCAGCGTGGAATTAAAAATAAAACAATAGTAAGAAACCTATGTGTTCTTCCAGAGTATCTTCTACATCTATACCAAATTTTACTAAGAACTGTTCAGCAGTTTAGGCTACAGACTCTAACATTTATATGAAATTTCGCATTTATAATATTAGTAATTAAGATATGAAAGTTTGAACGTTTGTTAGAGTTTGTAAACTAAACTGCTAAATAGATCTCAATTAAATTTGGTACAAATGTAAAACGTAGTCTGAAAGAACACATAAGTTACTTACTAAGATTTTTTTAATTAGGCGCAGACGAAATCATGGTAATACTTGTACTAGAAATAGCACTAGTAGTTTAATTACAACGATTATTTTATATACTCCGTAGAATATAAGTCAAATTACAAGTACACTTGATTGAGTAGGGTTCTGTGCCCCCTCCTCCACCAAAGATAAAAACGCATATGCATAGTTTGGTATTTTAGCGAATTCAACGTACATAAAAAGCTAATTTCTTGTATTGGAACAATTCATGTCAATGTCATTCTCTCTAATAAATTAGTAGTTAATTTAAAATATTAATAAACATAGTACTCCAATACAGTTTTGAAGTTTTCAATATTTAAAACCTCAAAACAGAATTTTAATACATAAAAATACATTTTTTACTAATGAAAACTAATGTTATTTACCTTCAAACATGGGTTTCACATATGGATGCAGTTTGAACCGTTGGAATTCTCTGAACGGGCTGAGGTATGGATTGACATAGTCCAAGCCGACAACGAAGCCCACGGCCACTAGTGGGGCTTCGCCCTCGGGCACATTTAAATGGTATATAAAGGATCCTCCATATGTATTCCTATTTAACGGCCAGCCTATAGTGTGTTCTACTAAGCCGGGCTTGTGATTCTGAAATTATTAATTTATTTTATAGACATCTATATTAAAAACAGTAAATAAATATATTATTACTCAGTAATAATGTAACTTTCTTATGGAGAAAGAATTATTCAAATCGGTTCAGTAGTTTTTGAGTTTACTGGTTACATGTACAAAACAAATATTTCCTTTTTATTAGTATGGATGAAAGAATTATTAATAATGATGCAAAATCTTAACTATAATAATTTTAGTTTCTTACTAAACAATATTAATAATAATTAAATCTTTATTCCAAGTTAAACATTAGAAACAAGACTCATTGCTTTTTTTAAAATCACATAGAAAGTTATAAGTTTAAGTTTATTTTTTTTTAAATTCCCTCTAAAAAATATGAATAATATAAATATCTGTAATATTCTTACCTCTGGTTTAATTTCCCATAGTTCTTTAAGTCCAATGCCATAAGACTGAGGTTCGCTTTTGTCTCTTAAATTATATTTATTGGATACCATTTTTGTTAAATGTCCGTGACATCCTGAAATAATGCATTGGTATAATTAATATTAGTTACTAGCTGTTGCCCGCGACTTCGTCCACGCAATATTAACTATAATATGCCCGTCTATGTCAGCTACAGTGAAAGTCCGGAAAGTACAGTACGTACAGCGAAATCGACCCAGCTTTTCAAATATTACTCGGAACAAACGCGGCTTACGGACAGACATACAAACAATAAATTTTAAATGCTATTTTCGTTATCAGCAACGCAAAAACATCTTCCCAAAACCTGAATTTCTTTTGATATTACAAACAAACACTCCAATTTTTTTACATTAGTACGGCGAGATTCGAACCTAGGACCTGTAGATTCCAATTTAAATGCCTTACTAATAAAGCGGTATAAAGTTAAACTTAGGAATAAACTGAGTATAAGCAAATATTACTACCAATACAAGTTAAGTACTCACTTAATTCCTAAGTTTAACTTTACACCACGTTTATTTGTAAGGCTGTAAGTGTTACCCCTGTAACTGTCAGAACATACCTTCAGCAAATATGGTGACCTTGGAATGGAATTCCATTCCCCTTTCAAACATATCTTTAGGGCTGCCATCTTTAGCGATGCCCACGTCGCCTGTCGCTACGCCCTTCAGCGATCCATCATCGCGGTATAGCAGCTCCGCGCCCGCGCAGCCCGGCCACACCTGCAATATTAATATTTTATTAAAGTATCAGTTTTTTTTTTACTTTTTTTTAGTAGTAGGCCTAATATAAATCCCTTTCTTTTACTACCTTTTTCTTATAAAAAAAGGATGGGAAGGGAAAGTGGATTTGACGTTGGAGGAGACGCATAGGAAAAGGAAATATGCTCTTTATGTGCTTCTCCTCCGTCAATAAAGGGTAGGCAACGCACTGCAATTGTGGATGTCTATGGGCAGTCGCTTTGCCGTTTTGGCGGATTCGGGCGGCCGCTTGCTCGTTTGCCACTTTATATCATAAAAAAAAAGTTTGTAAGCTTTATGTATCAAATTAACCTTAATTCGATAGTATCCAGTATTACGAACAATTGATAAAAAAATCTACCGAACTAGTTAAGAAAAAAATATGTGAGATTTTGGTTATAGTGTTTTGGTAACATATTATTCTGCTACAATAAAACTCCGTCGAAGTAAGGGTTAGAACATTTGTTAGCTTATGAGTTTTTACAGACTATGTTCTACATGTGTGACAATGTTAACCATTAAGTTATGGAGTTACATAGTAACAAACATCCATCTATAACATTGGCATTTATGTTGTATGTATTACTTTGATTAGTATGACTAGCTTTTGCAACATATGTTTATTCTATTTGATGCCAGAAATCTATTAAAATATCATCTAGTTTTACTTTTTCCCAAATTTTGATTAATTTACTGTTATAATGCACAAAATTAATGTATCCTACAATATCTGTAACTATTTCCGGGATCAAAAGTAGCCTATGCATTCTTACAGACTATTCTCTACACATCTGAGACTCATTGAGATCCGTTCAGCAGTTTAGGCTGCAAACTCTAACAAACATGCATCCATCTACATTCACATTTTTAATATCAGTAAGATTACCTCAGCTCCTAATGCCTCTGCTTGTTCCGAGAG